CAGTCTGATTGGATGGGCAAGTTCAGTTATGCCTTTCTGTCCATCTTGTTAATTCCACTAGTCTTCTTCAAGAAAGAGCGAGATCACTGTCAGAGTCCTGATCACTCCTTTCTCACTGCACCAGCCCTGATTCCCCTGACTAACAAGACTTCCCGTTCACCATCCATTTGTCCACCTAGCCAGACCTGACATCCTCTGCTATCCAAGATGGAGGTTTTTTTTCACCCGGCTCCTGGTGATCTGCTTCTAACTTGTTTGTATTGTCCAATCTGTCTGCTTGACAGGACTTTCTAGCGACGCTATGGCCATGGCCCCATGGGGCATTATCTGCCCACCTGTTGAATTTGTGACAGCAACATTAAGCATTTCATTATGTGCTGCAATGGTCAGGCTTTGGCTCCAGCTAACGTTCCAGAGTGCTATAACATACTTTCTTATGTGCTCCTTTCACTCAGAGCTGCAAGTATCTACAGCTCGTATCTACAGGTCAATCCTAGCTGCCTGACACATTGATTTTTAAAGTCAGTTCAACCGTGTCTAACAGCATGTCACTCCATCACCTATTGCATGGAATCTTCATCCAGTGTCCCCTCATTGAGAAATTGGTCTGGTCATGAGACCCAAGCTAGGTTCTCTAGATGCTTTCCAGTCATTGCTTCGAGCCATAAGTAATGTCTCCCTTATGTACACCAGCTCAGGTTGGCCCTTCTCCCGACAATGATTACCTCCAGAGGAGGCAGCAAACTACAGACTCTCCTCGTTGCTGAAGGCTGTCTACGTTGGGAGCCACACGATGTTCACCTCATTCCTTCCATTGGCTTCCTGACAAAGGACCAGACTCCCTCACTTGATCCTTCCGATATCTTTGCACCCTTCGTCTCCTTACATAGTGGAGACGATGCGAATAAACTTTGGTGCCCTGTTTGTGTCCTGAAGTGGTACCTGACTAAAACGATAGTTTTACATTCCAAAAATTACAATTGGTCCTCACCCCAGTTCTTAAACTCAGTAGGCAAAATTCCTCCAAGAGTATACATAATAGGCGAAAAGCTGATTTGATGTCTGCTTTAGATGTAAGGACACTTGTGTCACATCAAATCAACATCAAGCTATTAAACTATGCATTTCTTGATTGAGTTGCAATGGGGTTTATAGGAAGCAGGAGGATGAGCACTACTGGTGGTTTGAGATTTTCCTTTTTGCTTGTAGTTTGTAGGGAAAGGTCCTGTGGTCAGGAGAACTACATGAGAGGCACTTTTGAGCATATGCGCATTGGGCTCTGGAGCAATTAACCAGAGGCCTTGTTGAATGTGAAGCAGGGAGCCCCGTTCCTATTGGGTTAGCGGAAGGAGAGGTGAAAAAAACTACCTAAGCTCTTAAACCCAGATAGCCTATGTCCACATGCGCCAGCCTGGGGGCGGTCATGTAAATAGCCCACAATTACCTGTCATTGACAGGCCAGGGTCTTCATTTCTACTTAGTATCTTTGATGCATAATTGGCCAGCTTTATCTAAGGAGAGAGTAAGATTAGGGGTAAGATTGGCAGGGCAACAGTGGCTAAGTAAGTTTTCAAGCTCTATGTATTTGCTCTTGACTATTTTATCTGTAGGGCCCCCTCCGCCCCCACTTCAACATGGATTGGAATAATGTTTGAGGATGGTTGGGCAAGGGAACCAGGCAAGCTTGGGAAATGGGGTTAGGCCTGAGACCTTAGGGTGGGGCGGTCATCACGGGTAGAGACAAATGAGTACTCACCCAATGCACATGTTCATGTAGGTAGGTTGAGTTGCATTGGTGCAGAGAACTAGGCAGACGACAGGTGCCCACAGCCAGTGTGGCCAGTGAAAGCAGGGAGCTACTTGAGCTACTGCCAAAGGGGTACTCAGGCTGACTGGTTAATGAGTAAGGGCTGGATGTTGGGTTGCACCGGCTTTAGAAATGGTGCTGGAATCTGCCACTGCAAAGGTGGAGTCACCTAGGCCGCTGCCACCATGTTGGGGCTGCTTGCCATAGTTGGGTGTATATGTAGGTATTTATCTGAGAGTAGCCGATGGTCTCGGTGCAAAGCCAACTAAGTGACCTGGCTGGCCAGCAGGGGATGAAGGCACGTTAACTGTCCAGTGCTTAGAGAAGCAGCTGGTGGCTATGATGCTGGTAGATGTGGAGGTTGCAGTTTCAACTGTATGACTCACCAAGCTTTTTGAATCACAGTTTTGATGCCTTGTAAAACGTTAGGATATTTTTGTTATGGGATTGGGTAAAATGTCATATTAAATGTAATTATTGTGATGCTATAAGCACGTGGAATATCAGTTCTGTTTTTGTTCATATTTGCTATTACCTATTACAAATGAGACCCAATTTCTTTATGTGTACCCATACATGTCAAATCATTGTTTGTACCTTCTTTCTAAATGTATGTGAGAACATTTATTATTTGATTAACAACTTCAATTTTTTGTTTTTGGACCCTTTCGTTTTTGACCACCAAAAGCAACATACCACAAACATGTCCTACACAGCAGAATGCTAAATTAAAGGGCCCACGAAAAGTGGTTTATATTAGTTATAATGAATTTTTTTTTGTTAAACAACATCCAGAATGTAAAAGTTGCAATTTTGATTCCAATTTGGAGAAAAACATTTTTAAAAGGATTTGGCGAAACAGCCCCTCCCCCCAAGAGGTATGACATTGATATGGAAAATTTGCTTATTTGTGACATACATTTGCTCGGGTCATGCTCGGGAAATTCAATCCAATTTTGGGGTGTTTAGAGATTGTGCCTACTAGATGTGTTGCCACAGTCTGTGGCAACACTGATGAAGATGGGACAAGCCTGCATAAATCTCCAACCAAAGCAAATTTTAGGGGAATTTCGACATCAAAAAGCAGGCTGACTAGAGCCTAAATCTGAGTAATTTTCCATACAGTATAACAAGACTGGTCAGTCAGTAATAATCTCACTTAATTACTTGTAATTTACTTATACTGTACATGTCCTCGTTGAATTTAACCTCTATAAAGTGAATATCTTTTCATAGTTAGTATTACTCAATCTTCTGTTGACACTAGTGGTACAGATCAAGCATTTCTATCCTCAATTTCCTGTGTTCTACAGAGCAGAAGCCTCATGGATACAAAGGATCCATGGTGTTTTCTATATCAGAGGGGGCAAATGGCACAAACCAATGGGTCCCATTATAGCATGCAACAGTTGTTCTGTTTTATACAATACAAGCATAAATCCCTGTCAACTGATTGGTAGATTGTTGGTCATATATCATTGAATTATTCATTCTATTCCACATCACCGGTGAATAGAACTTCATTTCACCTGACTACATGTAGTTCCCACCATATTTCATATGTTTCATTCACAGTAAGAAAAAGGAAAATAGTAATGTAGGGACAGGAACCAGTCTAACATTGCATTGCACTACCAATGGTCGGTGCTTCAGACACAAATTTTTTCACAAAATGGCAGATATGTGATGATTATTATTTTTGGGGGGGCGTTCTAACACAAGTGGATTTATGCAGGTATTATGTAAAACAAATAACAAATTTTTCACATTCATGCAATACTAAGAATAATTTCATGAAGTGACAAATGAAATGTTCCATCTTCACCTAGTGGAATGAACATTTCATTTGTCACGTCATGAAATTATCCCTACAATTACACTCATTGGCAATCATTATTTGTATAATACCACATTCATAAATAACTCAAAAAGTTACCCTATTCAACGACGTGCAATGTGACTGTATTAACGTTTGATAATGCCCGCTGAAATTTGATAATGCTCCCTGAAATTTGATAATACTTGCTACCCAAAAAAGGCTCTAGCACCTGGATACAAGAAATTTTATCCATTCCTATTCATCAAACGTCTGCATGGGCTGTAGCACGCACAGCGTGCCACACGCGTGCCAAGTCCATATTCTTCTTGACCACTTGCGTAAGGACTATACCTTAGAATGGTTGTTCATGAAAACGAAAGAAAATTTCTGGAACAAAATCCTTCAAAATGTATATTGACTTCTTTTGACTCTCTGACTAAAATGGTATTTATGAATGGGAATAAATATGTGCTTGGTCAGTATCGGTAACATTTAAGACCGGCACCCGATTAATAATGCCCTCACCTGCAGCTCGGACATTAGTCACGTCCATTCTCCTGAGCCGGTCTTAAAGGCACGTTGAAGATCGGCCAAGCACATACTTATTCCCTTAGTAAAAGATTGCAAGAGAACAGTATCGAGTAAAATATATTTTATTGCAGAATGATACATTTAACTGAAATTGTTTTCAGCAATAACATATTTAGTTAATAACAAATTCAACTAATATAGGAAGTGCCATCTTGCTCACATTTCCGAAGAAATATTCAAGTAGGCTGTCCAACTGTCACAAGGAATGTCTGAAACTGTTGATATTTTCCTGTTATGGTGCAGAATTCGAGAAGTATTCATACAAAATATTCCATAGTTTTCTTTGTGCTTATGCTGTCGTATTGAAAAATCAAATTTCTGATCTCTTTGGAAGGAGAAAGAAACATCTTTTTTTTGGGAGGTGACCTGTTGTCATCTCTGCCAACATTACTAGGGTGAAATTACAACTATTTTGGCACTGTAAACAAATAAAATTATGGAAGAGTGAGGATTGATGTAAACAACAATGGCATTTGTATTGTAGCAGAAACAACACTTCACTATCCCCAATTGAATATCTCACAGGAATATACATAAACTTACAACATACCTGCGTACATGTAGCTGCATACGTGTTTCAATGTCAGACTAGTATAATACAATGCGGTGGAAATAACACTTTGAACAAATCAAGGTAATGTGCCCTTTAAGTATCACTCATGTACATGTACAACAGAATATAATGCTCACATACTCTTGACCGGTGCACATGCATGTTTGTGGCAAATCTTGTTATGAATGCTATTTTCAAGGGCAAAACTAGATTTTCTTGTTCATTATTAGGAGGAGGAGACAGGTCAAATCTACTTCTTCATGAAGGGAGCGGATACTGTCATGAGTTCAATTGTGCAATACAATGACTGGTTGGAGGAAGAGGTATGTATATATATATATGTTTGTGTAGCATTAGTTAAGCATGAAAACTTGGATGGATATATGTGCCCCCCTCCCCCGTTGCTGCTTATTTTTAAAGTGAGAGTATATGTAGTCTGTATTCATCAGTAAATGACACTTTAATTTCACAAAAAAATTCATTACACGGAGGAATAGAGAGAAGCTATTTAGAGCTACAGTAACAGAAATTATTTTTCAAACCAACTTTTCATGTGTCCTGGCTCTTTGCACTTGATTAGTTGTTACTGCCATAATGTTTGCTTCACTCAAAGTTATGTGAAGAAGCAATGTCATGCACATTTTTTCGGACTTGGAACATTCCGTTCAATTCACATGGAAAGAGACATTCCAGCCAATCCGCCCTGAGTTTAAGTGCACTCCAAGCAACAAAAGAAAGACAGATGGTAGTAAGTTTTCCAGGCAGGTTCTTACATGCCTTTTGCGTGTACGCAAAGACCATACAGTAAGGAATAAATTTGTTACGCATACTCAGTGTTCTCTGCATTAAACGTGCCCTTGATCTCCATTGTAAACGCACACTTATGCGATGAGTACCAAAAAACATGCCCTTTTTTGTTGTACTTGAAGTGGATAACAAGTCAACCACAAAACCAGTTACATGTGACAATATATCTTAGACTTTGAACAGTCTTCTGTACTCCAGAGCAGCAGACTTACTCAAAGGATCTCCAAAGTTTGTGCACTACTCAGTCATCTCTGGAGCATTTCATAAGCATTTGCATGCTCACTTACACATTCTCAAGTATTTTACAGAATACAATGCAATACAGATAGTCGTGCGGTTATATTACAGTGTGGTAACATGGCACGAGAGGGGCTACGTACTCTGGTGGTAGGGAAAAAAATTCTGACTGAGGACCAGTATGCTGACTTTGAGGTGAGATATGTCAATGAAAATTCACGGTATACAAGTACATATACTGTAAAGGGAGGTTACATCATTGTCTTTTTTGTTGTGATATTACAAGTTCAGCTGATTTAGGGGTATTAAATTTACCGTATTTTCATTTCACTGATTTATCTCAAGTTTGAGATAACTGCTTGAGAAAAATCGAGAAAAACACAGTAGCCTTTCTAATGGTCAAATTGAAGATCTTGTAATTTATCTAGTGCAAAATCCATGAACTACAGGGCTTTCTGAATAAGAGAGCCACTGACAACCTACATGCACAGTTCGTCTGCAGATGAACAGGCACAGCAGGTGTTCTTGCCCTCTAAAAGCAGTTTTACACAGCCAAGAGTAATCAATGAATTTACCTTGAAGTAAAATGCCGTTTCGACAATAAAGCACTGTGGATTCATAGAAAACCTCATTAAAACCCTAACATTCCTGAATCCTCCAATTTTAATACGACTTTGCACACACCCTAGGGAGTTAGGGTTAAGCAATGAAGTTACTGCAGTCAACTCGCATTGTCCATGACATGATGAGAATATGAGCGTGTGTGCATGATTAGCTTCATGACCACACTTTTACGTCAGTTTAGTTGTCAATTGAAGTCTAATATCCATTGTTAGTTAGCCTTGTCCAAGGCAGTCTCAGCACTTTTTGTCGGGAGATTATCAGGCCTCACACTCAGGACACATGGCAAATGAACCACCACTTACTATCATGATGTACCAACCCCCCATACACTACAAGTACTACAGCAAACCTACAGAGCAAACTGTATGGACAGACACAATGTACTATGCAGTGTATGTAGCAAATAAAAAAAAAGTTTAAAAATAAACTCGCCAATAGGCATATGTCACATGCCAACTTACATGAAATGATGACCTATGCATATATGTACGTAAATGTATGAAATGTATGATATGATTGGGTTGCAGTGCTAAAAATATCTACTCCGAGCATGGAGGAAGGAAAAGAAACAAAGAAAATATGCAACATGGTTTGCAATGCTCCAAAGTTTTGACATATGAATTTGATTTTGTAGAGCACAGTGGTCCATCAGTGTGGACAGAGTGCCTGCATGTACATGGACTGGAAAACACTGAATTCACCCGGCGACAACCCAACAAAAAATGCACTCCATTCGACTGCTGAAAATACGTGCACTAAAACCTTCAAAATAATACATGAAAGTGGAAAAATACTTACGCATAGAAGGGAATCTAGTTCTGTGAACTAGTTCATTCACTGAAGTATTTCAGAAAATTTTTATCACTTCATGATTTCAGAGTGTTGAACCTCAAGTTGTCATGGGCGTCACTTGCTCTAGGCTATTCCATGCCATTCTTGCCATTTTTGCGGTAGGAACCCATGTGTGTTGACATGCTTTATCAAGTCTCATGCACATCCACCACACCGTGATTCCAAAGCAACTTGTCTCATGCTTGGGCCGTAGGAAATCAGAAATTATCAATTTTGACTCCACATACCCTCATATTATACACATATGTTTGGCAGGTACACATGATATGTACAGTACATGTGATAAAATGTACACATGCTGGCAGAGAAAGGTCTGGGATCCATCCATGATATCCGTGCACGCAACGCCGTGCTGGGACGTGTCCTGACTGTAATGCTACCTCCATGCATAAATGTACACCGATACAGCGATCATGGACCATGCCAATAAACAGACATCACCATGTGACTTATCACTTACACTTCCTGCAAACCGCAGCGGGGAAGTTGAAGCTAAAACAGGATTTATTAAATGCCCTCATAAATGAATGCACAAGCTGAAATCGCCCTTGGGATGTCGAAAAAAACTTACTTCTTTCCTCCAGACAGAAGATCTGTCAATAATTTACTTGGAAGTGATCTTCACTGATTTTCTAGTGGAACATAGTATACCTTTGGCTTTGTCTGACCACGCTGGAAGTTGCTTCAGGAGAATGTTTCCAGACTCTCAAATTGCAAGAAAGTACTCATGTGCTAGGACCAAGACAACGCATATTGTGAACCCCTTAGCAGCTGAAGACTCTAAAAGCCTCACTCACCCACCGTGCAGCCTGGCCACAGATGGAAACACTGACTTAGATGCAATCAAACGTATCCTATCATTGTGAGGACATTCAATGAGAGTGAAGGAAAGGTTGTCTCTGAATTTCTCGCAGTGAAGGAATGTGCTAAAACATCAATAGGAGAAAACATCTTCAAACTTTTGCATGAAGAGTTAATGTCACACGATATTTCTTGGAAAAATTGTGTCAGCTTTGGAACAGACAATGCGTCAGTCATGATCGGAAAACACAAAGGCGTGGCAACTCACATAAAGAAACACAACCCCAACATCTATGTGATGGGATGCCCCTGCCATCTGATGCATTTGTCTGCCAATAAGGGAGGGAAGACATTGGAGTACCAAATAGACAAAAGCCAGCTGAGACATCAAGCAATAATCAAACTACAGCAAGATCATGGAGTCCAAGTTAAAAAGATTCTTAAACATGTTTCCATCAAGTAAGTTTTAAAGTAACTGATTTTCATAAAAATTAATTTTAAAAACAAAACTTGCATTTGTACTTAGACATTTAACTTAAGACTATGATATGTAAATAACAGTCAGTGGGCCAAGATAGAAACTGTATGCAGTTTAACCTGATGAACATAATTGAAGTGATACTGCCTAGATTACTTGTACGTGTTGATTGTACAAGGTCAGAGGCACATAAGTTGTCTGAATGGAATGAGACTGCCTGAGGTGCACCTTTTTTGGGGGGGTTTCATTATTTTAGCCAGGCAGTGATCGACTCGCTAAGCTTACACGCAGTTCATTTTAATATCCCATGTTTGTTGTGTAGCGAGTGATTTAGAATATGGAATACAAAAAACTAATGTTTCATTCTCCAGATGGTTGTCCCTTGGTAAGGCAGTGACCGTAGTCCTCCAACTTCAGGATTCAAATGGCCACATCGAACATAGTACAATGTATCAAGGCTCACTTTCTTTCCTTATTATCAATACTTCAGCATCTATTCATTTACATGTGGGCTCTTCCACTCCATGCCTCCGGTGTCTGGGACACTGGCTCTCAAGACGAACAAAGCAACAAGTTAGAGCCCGGAGTGGTGTTTAACGCTCTTCACCACTTTCGACAACACCTAGTGGGTCGTTCCTTTCAAGTCCAGAGCGACAACTCCCCAACAGCGACGTACATCAACCACCAGGGTGGCACTCGCTCCCCTCAATGCTGCGCCCTTGCGTGGCATCTCTTCATGTGGACAAGCAAACAAGAGATCACTCTCCAAGCCGTCCACATAACAGGAACTAACAACGGCATAGCAATCCCACTCTCTCGAGGTGCCGTCCAACCAACAAGGTGAATTCTTCACCTGAATGTGGTCAGCCATATCTTTGTGAAGATCGAGAATCCCCATATTGACCTCTTCGCTTCCACCAACAAACCTATCTTCTTAAGTTTTGCTCCAGGCTCCTTCACCCATGGACATGGGCGACAGGTGCCCTACAGTTCGACTGGTCAGGCCTTCCAGCATTAGCCTTTCCTTCAATATCCCGTGCGTCCTGTCCAAGATAGAACGGGTGCCATGTCGTGTCCTCCTCGTTGCCCTGTTCTGGCCTCGCCTACCATGGTTTCCGAGACTAACAAGACTTCTGGCATGATGGCCACTCGTCCTTCTCTCCCAGGGAGGGCATTCTTCGTCAACCCAAGTCAGGGTCCTCTATCCAGCACTGGGGGATCTTCACTTCACGTGTTGGATGTTGTCCAACAATCCTTCAGTGCATTGGGCCTTTCTGCTGATGCTGCGTCCATGACGGCCCGGGGTTGACAACTGTCCACACACAAAATTTACAAGAGTCGACTACAACATGTTACTAGATGGTGTGACGACCACAATGTTTTCTCCAACCGAAGCTTCTGTGAGCTCCATAGCAGACCTTTTCAAGTATCTGTTTCACTCAGGCCTCCAGATTGCCACCATCCACAACTACCGGTCAGTCTTGGCAGCTGTTCGTTTGGGGGTTCAGCAGTGGATCAACGGTTTCTGGTAACATTGCCTTCCACGGTCTCCTTCGGGGAATGTTTGTCGAGCCTGCTCGTGTCAAGCGCCTCGTTCTGTCTTGGGACCTTGGGAGCATCTTGCACATTCTCGCCGGTCCCCCCTTGAGCCACTTTCTGATCTCCATCTCAGCATCAAACTGGCATTCCTCCTGGCAGTCGTTACCTCCAGATGCAGCAGCGAACTACATGCTCTGTCAACTGCTGAAGATCACATCCACTGGGAACCAAACGGGGTTCTCCTTATCCCAGCCATTGAGTTCCTGCTAAAGAACCAGACGCCTCCCTTCCAGCCTCTGGACATATTTGTCCCCAACATAGCCTCTCTTTCGGGAGATAACTCTGACAAGAAATGGCATCAAGTGGTACCTCGCCAGGACCAAGCAACACTGGGAGCCTGGTGACAGACTTTTCATCACAACCACAAAGCCCTTTCATCCAGCGGCAAAGGACACCATTGCCCGATGGACAGTCTCGGCCATCATCTTCGTGAACCAGGACTGACCGACTCAGCATGATGAGACGACTCGTTCTCACGTCAGAGCCTGTGATGTGCGGGCTGCCTCCACGTCCTGGTCATACTTCAAAGGCGTCTCCCTGGCGGATATATTCTAGGCGGCTTGCAGATCCCCCTACACCTTCACTGAGTGCTACCTGAAGGATGTCCTGTGGAGCGAGATGGCTCGCGGCACAGCAAGCTTGCGCTCCGTGGTTGGGACAGCATCCAGCACTGTCCCACACCGAACAATGAATTCTTCATCATCGTAGAAACCTTTTTCTCTGGTGAGTGTTCACTTAGGTGACACCCGTCTATGTTCTCTAATAACTACTCCCCCTTCACCGACCCTCCTCCAGGGTACGGTGCCACTCTGCATATGTAGGCTGGACAGGGATATGTGAA